ATGGAATAGGTGCACGTTGCTTCTGTATTTGCATAACAAGGCTATTTTCATATTTTGAATACCGCATGCTTTACTGCCTTGAACGTCAAACCGAACTAGCCACTAGGTCAATAATTGTTTTCTCTCTTCAAAAAAATAAGGAGCCGGAGTCGCCCCCTTTTTTGACGGCTCCGGCTCCGGCTCCGGCTCCGGGCTATATTGTTTCACGGCTCCGGCTCCGGCTCCGGCTCCGGCTCTGGCTCCGCACCCCTGGTTCTGATAGTCGAATTCAAGAGCCAGCAAGTTGGCCTCTAACATGATGTTCATGTAGAGGAGACCCGGGAGGTATGGGCCGGTTTTGTGAAAACGCAATTTTCTTCCAGTGGACACTGGGCAGTGGCTAGACCTGGTTTTTCACTCTGTGTACGTGAAAACGTGAAATTGCCTTTCGCCTGTAAAGTGTACCTGATACTAGGCATTTGGGATCAACTATTTTGTCTTGAGAATGATAACTTTAAATAAATCATGCGCTTTTTCGATCAATATAAATACACCGGGAGGTATGGGCCGGTGCCATGTTTCATATCCTTTTCTCGATATTGAGATAATACCTACTTGTAGCTGGGCTCTATCTTGAGCTCTCTTAGCCCGCGCCCCGCTGGGGGGGGGGGGGGACAGAATCTGCCCCCCTCCCGTTTTTCGCCAATAACTTCTAAACGCGTTACGCCAGCGACGTCAAACTTTCAGTACCTTATCATACATCAATTTGACACGTTCCCTGAAAATTTGAGTGAAATCCGTCGGAAAATTTTTGAGAAATTGACGTTTTAGTGACGTCATGTTCGCCATTTTCGCCTCAAAAACGGCAAAATTTCAAACGCCGCTAACATCTTCATTTTTAAAGGAATGAAGACGTAACAAAAAAGGTTATACGTGATTCTACTTTGTTTATCAAATGGCTATCTCGGTTTTTTGAAAATTTTGGATTTTGGCCAAAATTTTTTTCCAAAAAAAAAAAACTGACCTTTTTGGGAAAATATTTATTAAATCCAAAATTTTGAGTTTATCGAAAAAACGGGAATATATGTCAAAGAAGTGGTCTATGTGCACCAACATACCAAATTTTAGAAGAATCGGTTCAAAAATGTGGGAGTTATTCAAAATTTTATGACGTCACGACACACAAAAATTTTGCAAAAATGATTTTTTTTGAAGTTTTAGACCTCGCACGGAAACAAAAATAGCACCATTCGATTCGCCGTGAAAAACTGCATCGGATAGACACCTTTTTAGGCCTTAACAACCAACTTCAAAATTTGACCTCACTTGACCTGACCTTGACCTGACCTCGACGTGAAATTCATCCAGAGGTGGTCCATATCTTTTATTGAGTGTGCCTATTGAATTCCATGAGTAAAATGACCCATAAAACATGTGTCGCACATGCCCTTTTCTATATTTTGTTTTTGGTGACCTGACCTGACCTGACCTGACCTTGACCTTGACCTTTGAATGACATTGTGTGCAACGAATATTGTCTTGGTAGTCTAAGAACACGTTTTGGGCAATCAGTCTCAGTCCATTCTTCGGCAACTACGGTGCAAGGCCGATACTGTAGAAACTTGCATTTTGTACCCTTGACCTGACCTTGACCTGACCTCTGACCTACTTAAGCAAAAAAATTTGGGCTCTTAAGATCCGCCTTGTTGAGAGCCTTCGATTGCCGTTTTCCTCGTCTTTCTACGACCATCGGTTCGAAAGTTAGACAGGGGGGGCAGAATCTGCCCCCCCCCCCCCCCAGCAGGGCGCGTATGGCTGAATAGCCCAGCGGGGCGCGGGTTAGAGCCCAGGTACCGCATAAGCGGCCACTTCATGGAGGTCACTTGGGCACATATGTATTTTGGTAAACTCTAATCATGCACCATGAAATAAGTCAAATAAGATTTTTCTGTTCGAATGCAATTTATACTTAAATTTTCGACCTTGTGCGACAAAAATAAAACCTTTTGCAGAGGACATTCAATGAAGGCATCATTTCATTGATTTAGGATCCGTGGGGGTGGGTGGCCTGAACCTCCCGGCTAGGACGCCAGAATGCGCGTAGCATCTCAGCTCATAATTTTGCAAGAAAGCTTCAAATTGTCTATCCAGTCTTAATTTGCATGCTTTGAACTTTATGATTGCGATTGTCTGACATCATAAAGCGAGCCTGGTTCAAATTTATTACGAATTTTATGTATGTACCGTGTTTTACTCGAAGAGGGCAAAAACGCATTATCACCGCTCATTGCCAAAGAAGACTGAGGAAGTTCTAGCATAAAAATATTCAAAACACCAGCTTCGTTTATTAGTTATGGGAGCTTTCGAAAGACGTTCGCCTTTCTTCGTCAGCCTGTCTTAAAAAGCGCTTAACACACACATAATTCATGAACATCAGGTAAAGATAAGTTTAATCTTGTATTTACGCAACACCGATGGCCAATACCTCCCGAGGCCCATACCTCGCGGGTCTCCCCTACTTCTTCTCCGGACCGGAAGTCGCCACACATACCTAGGCCACAGCTGCACAATTAAAATGTTTGGTATAAAATGTTCATGTGGTAGCGTCACCTTTTTTCATGAATTTTAAGAAATGCTATGTTTTTATCATTACCGAGATGAATTTAAGTGCATTCTATCGGAAAAAGCAAAATTGTTTCGATTGTCTCCAAAATATGGCTCCGTCACTTCGTAAATGATGTCAAGTTTGCCACCATATTACGGGTATGCAATTGACATTCATCTCTTGGAACAAGCCGAAGTCAATAAATGCCGGGCTGGTGAGTCTGTTAGATGCAACAGGATCTGTTTCCCGTGTCATGTCGTTTTTTGCGTCACAGTTTAGGACGAGTGAGCGAAACGTTTGACCGGGTCTGAGCGAGTATTTCTCGTTCAACGATGCTCTCATCGTTGAAGATTGTCACGGACTCACGGAAATGTTTGTGCTGTTGCGGCGCCCCAATTCGTAGCTCCACAGGGCGGCATATCTTTTCGGCTAGGGATTTAATCCGCCAGTTGCAGACATCCCCATGACCAGCCTGCGGTGCCCTGAGAGGGTCCCCTACCGACTCCCGGGAAGGCCCTGCACGCCTACCTGCGTCATTCAAGCAAGCTACATCGGTGTAGCATACGAGGTCACCATCGATACACTGCTTTATATAGTACCCAGGGGGCATCGTAACTATAGTGATGTCAGTTACAGAGAATCGGAATACCGATGCCAAACCTAATACCAACCAAAGCCATGGAAAAATACCGAAACCGAATCAACTAGGGACTTTGAGGGGAAATACCAAGTTTCTACCAAATTCACAGCCTCTTATACGTTAGCGAGGATTTATAATACCAACCAAATACCAACCACATTTGTATTGAAATACCAAATACCAACTTGGTATCGGTTTGGTATTCGTATACCAAAAAGTTGGTATCCGACTGAAATATCTCTAATCGTAACATATTGGCTCATTGAGGTCACTTGTGGTAATCAGCGTTTTTCTTTTCTTTTCTTTTCAGTCATACACACAGATTCATTCTGCAGTACAAGCCTACATACTTGTGACCAATGATCACAACACCTGACACCATCCGTTTGTAATAGGCCTTTTTTGGCTCGTTCATCTGTTGTGAATAATTCTCCCAATCGAACTGAGGTCGGTAAATGTCCCAATGAGCGCTCAGAATAACTTGCCAACATGAATGATACGATCCTCCCGTCTGTAGCCCTCCCTGAACTGATTTGAAATGAATTTGACGACAGGTTGGTCAATATTCAAAATTGTTTGAACGTTAACGACCTGTGACGTTTTTACTAAAGCTGTTTAACAAAAGCTCAGCCTTTGGTTCGTTACTTGTTGACATAGGTAACAATCATCTGAGGTCAGCGATTGGCCCATAAACTTGTGCCTGTCACGCGCTGCATCTCTCTCCCTAAAGAGACCCTCCCACCTCCAAAAAGGTTATGAATTGGCATAAAAGTGATGTACCATGGTTCAGAAAGAGCAAAAAGGAATATCTACGAAAGTTTACCGAAAAATGTTCACCGGTTTTTTATTTACGAATTTAAGTAAATATTTCTCGATGTTATGAGTACCCAAACCGGTAGGCAATTGTAAGCCAGGGACCCCAATTTGGCTATCTCAATTCTCAATTCAAAACTAGCGTTAAGGTGGGATGGCAACTTTAGGGTGGGACGGTTAGTGGTTACTTAAACGCCAACAGTTATTATCAATTTCCTGTTAGCTCTGGCTTAATTAATCAAAAGCAAAATCATAGGCGGCGGAACGGGGAGAGCACCGGGGCACCGTGTTGGTGCAGCTTTATGCACCTATAATGGTGTGTAGTGTGCATTTTGGGAAGGCCCCCCCCCCCATCCCTGCACCGTAGCGATTCCGATACCTAAACAAACATCGCAAAACAAAGATTAGTCTTACGTTGATCAACTTCGATCCTTACGACAATGCAGCGCGCGCAAAGATTGAGATGGAAGCCGGGCTCTATTCAACACTAAAGGCTGACCATGATGAAGAAGACGTTCAAAGGAACTGCCACCGCTGTGCTTCCTCTTCGCCTCAGTTGTAACGCCGTCACTAACTGGAAAATCGCGCCCGCTGATCAACTTCATTTACCGTAACTCTAAGCTGTGAGCATAAATTAACGTTAACGGCTCTGCTAAGCGGCGGACGAGCAGCCCTTCTCGGTAGCCCCATTCAGCCGTACGCTACTCGGAGGCGCACTTCCAGGAACTGGGCGGCACCGGCTGCCGCGGCGCTGTATCTCGGCACCTCGGGCCGACCGGAACCGGCCTCCCCCGCATAGCGGAGATTCCAGCCGGCTTCCGGGCCGGGCCGCGCGCGGCTGACTCAGCCCGCCACTGCTGCCATCTGGCCGGTAATCCCCGACCAGCCGGCGCGCTCATTGGCCGCCTGCCGGACGGGGGGCGGAGCGACTGTCAGCCGGCGGGCGGAGCCTGTGACGTCATTGGCGGGAGCGGCCGGCGGCGCGGCGGCGGCTGTCAGTCTGTGCCGAGTGAGCGCGGTGGCATGGCGTCCCTGTCAGCGATGCTTCCGTACGAGTCGGCGGGAATCTTTGAGCAGCCGAAGCAGAAGTTCGCCTTCAAAGTGCCGCGCGTGGTCTCCGACCAGAAGGGCAAGTTCGAGCAGGATGACTGGTTCAAGAAGGTGACACGTGCCTCGGAGGTGAGTACGCCGTCGACCCACCCCACCACAATCACCGTTTTCAGCAACACTATAGTACAATATGCAACATTTTCTGTGAATCAGAATGCGCAAAGGAAGCCTTTGCACATTTCCCTGGAGCCCCTGGACGGCCGGGCCGCCCGCGCACTGCGCGCTGCGCACACCGGTCCGAGACTGACGTGTCTGGGATGCGTCATCGGCGACAGTGTCATGGCACCGGTATTTCTCGGTTAGCACATTCTAGCCGTGCCGATCTGATACCGGCCCTGGCACGGGGAGGGGCGGGCCGGGCCGCGGGCTGCCGTTCAGTGGGGGCGGACCGCTGTCAGACGGTCGGACGGACGGCAGAGTCGGGCCGGGCCGGGCCGGGCCGCTGGTCGGTGGCCGCGGCGGTGGGACGTGTGCTCCCTCCGTCCCCGTGTGTCCCCCACCACCCCTGGCCTTCTCCCCGCCTCCGGACTCCGGTTGGCCGCCCCGGTGACCCCGGCCGAGTACAGTCGGTGACATTTGGACGACGTTCCCCGAACTGTAGCGGCGGCGGCTCGGGCGCCCAGCGGCCGCCGCCGACCGGCGCCATTTTCTGTTATTGTTATCGCCGCACAGTGTACAAACAGACGGTCCGTGTGGCGGAGGTGGGGCCTCTGCCGCCGGGATTCAGCCACCGGGGACCGGGCCCCTGCAGTGTGGCAGACTGTGTCACCCCACCCGCCGTGTGGGGTCCCCTGTGCGCTCTCCTCTGGGCCCAATGATAGCGGACATCACTGCCCGGCCGTGTGTGCTCGCTGCTGGCGAGTACACGAGCTAATGGCCAGATTGGGCATTTGGCGGCGGTGATGATTGTTATTATCCGGCTCACATGTCGCCTGATTTACTGCCGGCGCAATGACGAGCCGAGATGTCAATTTGTTATCCGGGTGATGGGCCCGCGACTATCGCCGCTGGGACCTGCGGATAATCTCTGAGTCGTTATATCCCCGGGGGCTGTGGACTGGGCATCTCTCACCGGCCGGAGTGCCGGACACGGACGGGAAGGGCGGGTAGGGACGGATAGGGACGGATAGGGACGGATTGGGGCGGATTGGGGCGGATTGGGACGGCCGGGGGTGAGTCGGGTGGCTGGCGACACATCTGTGTGATCCGAACAGTGCACGGACCTCGTCCTCGGCTGAAGTTCTACGCGGTCAACCACCGTGTGAAGTAGGTGGTGGGCACTGACAATTTTTTAGCTTTTCAAATTAAAAGTCTCGTATTTGTGTTTGTGCTGCATTATGGTATTCACTTCCTTTAGTATAACGTTATTTTGGCGATTTCGGTATTTACGGCGTATGGCGCCCTTGGGTCCTATCCACCTCAGAAATCTCACCTCTGTCTGAACTGCGCGACTGATCACTGTAAAGGGAACGTTGACAATGCTTCGGAAACTGGGGAATCCACATAACCGCCATCAGCTCCCGGTCAGAGACCGTCCCCGGCTGGTCTAAGACCACGGGACGCTGCACCAGTGTCTGAGACAGTCCCCGGCTGGTCTAAGACCACGGGACGCTGCACCAGTGTCTGAGACCGTCCCCGGCTGGTCTAAGACCACGGGACGCTGCACCAGAGTGTCTGAGACTAAGTCGAGTCGTAATGGGAGACGAGGCCCATGACTATTGAGCAGCGTAGGTCCATAGCATTGACGACACTATTTACCGATGACAAGTCAGTGACGACGACAGCAGGGTCAGTGTTTTAGGATTTTGTCACATTCTACGGCGTTTTTGACATTTGTTCATCTTGGACACTGTTCCGGCCTTACTTGAAATTAGCAGCTCAAACCTTAACAGTGCCATATGATGGACCACAACCAATAAGTTTACTTTCATATTCTTTTTAAGTTCGGATGAAGGCATGCGTTTCAAATCGCAATGCTTTGTAAAAGTTCGGCTCTCGATTTTCTCCCTTTCCACCGAACGCGGAATCTTCTTCACTTTAACGCGCTCTAAAAACGAAACAAAAAGGACTAGGACTTTAAAACTTGGTGTACACACATAAGAAAAAAGGCAAAATATGTGACCAAATTTTCATTAACCTGCGTCTCCCGTAACTGTGTTAGGCTCAAAACTTTTCATTCACCCCACGTAGATGGTTTAACACATTACACACGAGATCAGCCTGCTAACAGCGTACCAATTTTCACGTCATCCGAATGGTCAAAGTGAGACGGGCAGAATCGAGCTCAGCACCAGCGCGGCCGGCGGCTGTTCGTTAGGAAAGGACTCTCTGTATTGGGCTGTTATGAGCCCAGTCAATCGGCAACACGCGTCAGCCAGCCACTCTGCACACTGCCAACTGGTGGCCCTGGCTTTTTTTGTTGAAAAAGCTAGTCTGCGTGATTCGTTGTTTTTCTATGCCGGTAATGGCCGATTTGAAGTTATTTAAGGCTGTTGATGGAACAGTGGCAGATCCAGGAGAGGGCAAATAGGACATTTGCCCCCCCCCCCCCCCAACGGCAACATTTTAACATTACGCCTATATAGACAGTACATGGAAAGAAACTCTAAATTGTTATGGTTTGCCCTCCCAAAACTCTGAGCTGGATCCACCAGTGTGATGGAACACTGTTTTGATATTTTCCTTGAACGTTGTTAAACTATGCTCAATTGATGTTGGAACAGTCTTTTTCAGAACATGCGTGCCTGTCTATGTAGGCATGTGCCATTTCATTCCCTACTCTTATCCATGAATTGTTAGCCTGATTAATTAATGGAAATGGCAGTATACATCTTTGCCGGGATCATTAAAATGGCTCATGCAGAAAGTATTCCGATTGGTGTGTATTTATTGTTAACCCAAATATAACGAAAAAGAACACACGCTTTACAAGTGGTGTTTTGAGCATAAGTCGCAACTTTGTAGCGCGTGTTTAATCAATTTGAGTATCTGGTGTAGAGGGCCCTTAGGCCTATCCTTCTTCTCATCGCTAGTGAAAGGTTTTCTACGAAATAACCCTCACATGAACAGGAACGAGGGTAGATCGATGTTTTTCAGGGCGTTCGAGCATCCCTTGAAATTGAAAAGCCCATGCGTCTCCCTCTCTTTCTTCATATAATCGCTTTTCATCATTAACTGTTCTATTGACGCCGGACGACAGCAATCGCCACGTGCGCTGGTGACTGGTGAACGTACGTAGAATGCATGGAGGTTGTTGACGGTCTTGTCTTGTCTTATCATAGCGAGCAAAATGGCTATAACTTATTGCAAGATTTGCATTGCTTGATTCGACATGACGTAAGGATAAAGACGATATTTGCAAGTGAGGTGAACCGATTTGACTAAGATCCTGATATTATGATACTTGATAGAAACTTTTGAGCCGACATATGCTAGAAGCTCTGAAATTAGCAAAGCACAACAATCGTACTTGATCGAATCTTCAAATTGTTGACTGCTGCAGGCTTGCATTAGCCAAAATCTTCTGGCAGAGCCCGGAAGCAATTAAATGGCCGTTTGAGTATGCAGATTCACTCGAATAATCTTCACATTTTGCCTTAAGGGCTACCGTATGGTGAGAAAGAAATGAACAGAGTAAAAGGCAAACATGAGGAGACAATTAGGTACCATAAAGACATTTGTCTTGCGTTCGATTAACTCAAGTTAAAGTTATCTTCAAAAAGGAAACAGACGACATGCCTATTCTTATACTGTTCCCCTGTGCCGGGCCGCGGAGTCGGAGTCAGAGACGGAGTAGGTCGGAGTCGAAAGTTCTGAACGGAGTCGGAGTCGCCAAAATCTTACCGACTCCGACTCCAGAGTCTGAGCTAACGCTGTGTGGCTCAGCGTCATGCCCTGCACCTGATTGCTTGACGATGCTACACCCTTTTGAAATAAGATTTTGTCGAAAAAAGACCAAATTCCTGTTTTAGACGAGCATTTTCAACGGAAGAGGCAGAAGACGGCGGATTCGCCAGAACCCGCTTTTAATTATGCATGCTATTTATAAAGCAGATTTGCAATGTAAGGCCTTGGAACGTTCAAAGAATTGTTTCGGACAAAATAGAAACAGCACTACTATGAATTTTATTAACATGATATGAATTTTTAAGAGAACGCCCGTAGTCGCACCTGGAGTCGGAGTCGGAGTAGGATTCGATTTTTGAAGCCGGAGCCGGTGTCGGAGTCGGCACCCGAAAATAGAAAATCACCCGAAAATCGATCGACTCCGCAGCCCTACTGATAATGTGCTCAAATAATGCGAAGTAAACCTTTTGATCATATGCATTATGCAGTTGTACATAGTTGATATTTGATTAGTATTTAACATGCTGTCATTTGCTTCGATGCGCTGTGCATCCCGCCGTCAGCGTCTACCTGACGTGGCCGCCAGTGTCTGTTTCTGTGTGTGTGTGCGTCTGTGTCTGTGTGTCTGTGTGTGTGGGTGTGTCTGTGTGTGGGTGGGTGTCTGTGCCTGTGTTTGTGTGTCTGTATGTGTCTGTGTGTCTGTGTTTGTGTGTCTTCTGTGACTGTGTGTCTGTGACTGTGTGTCTGTGTCTGTCTGTGTCTGTGACTGTGTGTCTGTGTCTGCATTTGTGTGTCTGTCTGTGTTTGTGTCTGTATTTGTCTGTGTCTGTGTCTGTGAATCGCAGGTTTAAAAATAAATACATGGCGCGTCAGGTGAAGAAACTGATGGACAGCAAACAAAGTCCTCAACAATACCACCAGATACTTAAGCAAATGATTGGACGTGAGCGTACTCTAACTTTACCACCCTTGCTTAACGATAGGAACGAAATTTGTGAGAATAGTTTAGACAAAGCAAACCTATTGAACGACTTCTTCGCAAACCAATCGAAAACCATAGTATCCGAACATCAAGTTCCGCAGTGTCTCGTCAACAGAGAAGTACCGTCACTAAGCGATATAACAGTTAGCGAAGATGAAGTTTTTGGTGTTTTAAAGACACTTAAGCTAAACAAGGCATGTGGGCCTGACGGTATTTCTAACAAACTTTTAAAAATGGCTGC